AAGCCAAAGGAAAATCATTTGGGCTAATATAAAAAGGATCCCAAGTAAAAATTTCCTTTATTAACCTTTGGTCGAGAATATGTTTGTATATTTTCAGAAAACAACTTCAAGACCATGTGGATTCCTGCAACAGAGAGGAATTATCAGGAATACTCCAGCCATGAAGACAAGAGGAAAAACAATCCGGAGATGGAAGACGCTGACGACACTTTGCCATGCTAGCAGTCAAGCAGCTGTGTGTCGCTGCAGGTTGCCCAGGATCAAACCAGAGAGGGTCGGACCTGCATTGCCACCATTTGTCCACCATCCAGAACTGAAATATCACTGCTGACATGTACACATAAGGAACTGTCGGACACTGAAACTTGGACTCAGGACTGTTGGACATTGAAATTGGGATTTAAACAATTTTTGTTCTTGAAATGTTATGTTTAAGTTTTAAAAAGTTTTGGGTTACGGATTGGCATTGTTTTGTTATTGTTTTAATAGCCAGAGTTTTGTGCTTGATGTTTAAGTTTTATTTTCATTATAGTAGCTTAATAATAAAAAAAAAAGGGTGAGATGTGGGAAACTGATATAGGGTTGAGCCTCGGACTGACCTGTTGGCAAAGTCACAAACAAGTCCCAGCTTAGAGGGCACAGTCCTCTTAGCATAATTAGGCTTGACCTTATAACACTCCCTAGATCTTATCTGGGAAGCTAATGGGCTGAGGGAAGTGCAGGAAGTATAACTATGGTCAAAACAAGTGAAACTCACAAGAACTGTGTAACTATGGTGACCACTGCTCTGTTTACCTCTGACTATAAAAGGTTGGTAGGCCTGAGCACCAGTGGAAGTCCTTCCTCCTGAGTTGGACTTACCTGCCTGGCCCCCAATATTCCCAAATTATTTCGTGTCTTTTCTCTTTCATTTGTGTGCGGCTCTTCTTCCAGATCCCAAACCCTGAACCACGCGGGACGTGGAGGGAAACATTTACAACACACAGATGTCCCCCATTTTCCCCCCTTTGCCCACCTCCACCCAGCCCCTGCTACCCCTCCCTGGCCTTCACCACTTTGTCCATGGCTAGGTATATAGAGACATACAAATACTTAACTGCATTATTGTGGATATTAAATGATCCTGGCTTTAAAAACTTGAAAATATAATTCTATTTCTTTTTTTAATATATTTTTATTGATTTCAGAGAGAAAGGGAGAGGGAGAGAGAGATAGAAACATCAATGATGAGAGCACGCCCCTTATAGGGGATTGAACCTGCAACCAGTCATGTGCCCTTAACCAGAATCAAACCCAGGACCCTTCAGTCCGCAGGCTGATGCTCTATCCACTGAGCCAAACCAACTAGGGCTATAATTCTATTTTAATTTATAATTATAATTTACATTTTTTCCACTTCCCTTCTTTCTACCATTATACATTTTGTTTGAATGATAAAATTAGAATGATAAAATGTTTCTAGTGTGTTGGGGTCCAACCCCAGCAGGTCTAGGGGTTCCCAAAGGTGTGGACTGGGTCGGCGAAGAAGGAATGACACAGAGACAGCGTTCAGTTGATCAGCAGCCTAGCCAGGTTCTCTAGCCAGGATCTCCAGCCAAGTTTTGTGTTTATTGTCCTGTTATATCTGTATTTATACCAGTTGATTTTAATCCTATCCATTCTATTCCCAAAGTTTAGGGCGTTTCTTATCTCCATTCCAAGGTTACTCTATTGTTCTATTAAGCTACAAGGAAGTAACTGAGGGAGATTATCCTAAGTAAAGATTATGTAGCTTAAGCGTGATTGTTCGTAGTTAAAGTGATTACCTGCCTGGCACTTAGTTAAGGGGTTTTATTCCCTCCCTAACTCCAGGGAAAAATCCCCACCTGGAGAAACAACCTTTCTCAGAGAGGTGACCTCCTAGATGATAACAAGGTAGAGCCATTTAATCCCATCCTGTTAAACAAGCAAGACAATTTCTGGGATACGAGAATTATCAGAGTTCATTCACCTATTCAACAAATATTTACTGATTATTTAGTTTGTGCTACATTGTTAATATAATGCAACCAAAAAAAAAAGTAATGTAGGAGTGTCTGAAGCCTTTTCTCTAACCCCACCCTGCCAAAGAAAATACAGTACTCTATTTTCCAGCCCAATTTCTCCTCCTCCCCATTCCATAAGAGGAAAGATTGATCTACTAGTACATAGTAAAGATTTGGGAAGTAAAGTGGGAGAGAAGAGCAGCACCAAACAAAACCTAGGAGGAGATTTGAAGTGAGGTGTGGAACGAAATGCCCTATAGCAGCTGGGGATTATGAAAGAAGTGGGTGGGAAAGAAAAGGTTTTAAGAAATATTTCAGTGGACTATTAAAATACATGAATCTCTCCACATTTTTGCAAAATACAAGTAAGGTATTTGAGCTATCCTGAAATGGCTTGTGGTTACTGAAGGGTGTTTATTTGTCAGACTCCAAGAACGAGCCACATATGTGCTTGTTGTGTAAGGATTACATAAGAAACAAACACAATGTGATTCTTCGGGAAAATAGAGAAACTGAGTTGTGGACCTTTATTACCAGAGATAAAAATTTTCCCATATGAAGACCTTGTACCCACTTAAGCGTTCACCTCCATTAGTTCAATAATATCCTCTGCCAAATTATTTCCATGTTGTAAACAATGTGATCAAATAAAGTAAGTCTTACTTGTTTGCATTTTATTGCTGGTTTATATAAAAGACATTCATTCTATCAGATGATTGAAATCGAAATGTTCTTCAGACCACTGTGAACACATGTGTTTTTGGGAGATTAGCTCATCAATTTAAGTACCAAACCACAAGTACACAGGCATTTCAAATAAATGATTTCTACTCAAATCCAGGGGATGGAGAGAATGAAAATAAGATGATTTGGCTTAGTTAAAATGTAAACTGTGGGCTTTACTGATTTTGTATTGAATTGTCAAATTTTGTGAGAACAATAGACAACAAAAACATTAGCAAAACATTAGCAATAATAATGGTGTTTAGAACCACAGCTCACTTCAAATCTCCTAGGTTTTGTTAGATGATGCTCTTCTCTCCCCCCCTACTTCCCAAATCTTTACTATGTAGATCAATCTATCCTCTTTTGGAATGTTTCCTTCTAGGTGCAGGGTACACAGAATTTCTAATTAGCAATATAATGGTGTTTAGAACTGGAAAATATGTGCTACAATGTTTTAAAAAATTATTTACACTTCTTCACATCAGCAAATTAAATACTGCATTGGAGAAAGGCAAATATGCTCAAATTTTCTACACCATTTGTAATTGTAAGCATTGAAGAAAGGCAAATATGCTCAAATTTTCTACACCATTTGTAATTGTAAGCATAAGAACTTAATATCTGCATAGACTCAAAGATGTGCAGAAAAAAAATAGAAATGTAGAGATTGTTTGGTACAAATCCTTCATCTTAGAAAGGAAAAATTCAAGTCCAGAAGAATTAATCTACTTTTTTAAAGCCACACAACTCCAGTACTTAAACCCAGCTCTTTTGATTCAAAATCTATGTCTCAACGTAATATGCTATAGCTCTAACAATACTTGCAGTATATTTTTCTAAATGATTATCTTCATTTTCCTAAGTTTTTTTTATTATAAAGGTAATTTCTTCATGATGGAAATTGTTTTTAAGTGACAGAAAAGATGGACATATCAAATGAAAGTGCATTTTTTCAAAAATACTTTAGCAGTATCTAAGAAGACCAACTGATGAAGTGTTGACAGAGGACTAAAAAGAAATTAAATCTTTTCTTTTCTTTTCTTTTTTTCAGTTGGTCAGCAGCCTAGCCAGGATCTCCAGCCAGGTTCTATGTTTTATTGTCTTGTTACATCTGTATTTATACCAGTTGACTTTAATCCTATCAATTTCTATTCCAAAGGTTAGGGCGTTTCTTATCTCCATTCCAGGGAGTAAAGATTATGTAGCTTAAGTGTGATTGTTCGTAAAGTGATTAACTACCCACCTGGCACTTAGTTAAGGGGTTTTATTCCCTCCCTAACTTCAGGGGAAAAAATCCCTACCTGGGGAAACAACCTTTCTCAGAGAGGTGACCTTGGTTAAAACACATAGCGCCAAGGAAGGGGAGCAAACATATTAAGAACAGTATGCCATATATGCCAGGTCCCTTGAAACGTATGCTGTGCAGATGTTTCTTCCCTGCAGCGACTGTGTCAAGCAGCAAGGATGGACCGGAAGAAATTAAATCTTAAGAGGATCTGATAGCATGTAAAAAAATTATAAAGTTAGAATAAGGAAAGCTTTTTGGAAATGCTCCAGACATTCGAACCCTGGCATGTGCCCTTGACTGGAATCCAAAAGGCAAAATGAAAAAGACAGATGAATTTGATTACATAAAAATTTAAAAAGACTAATAGTGAAATACTACCTTTTACATATCAGACTAATAAACACCATTAACTTCAAAGAAATATATGTTGGAAAGAATATAGGGCAACATATTGTGAACCCTGGGGGGGCGGGGGGGGGAACACTTACTAAAAAGGGCTCCTAGTGGGGCTAACACTGCTCAAATTAAAAAAAAAAAAAAAAACGGAAGAGGAAAAAAAACAGAGCCTAGCAGCTATTTCTGCACAGGGGCCTCTCCCTTGAACTGCACTTCATGGAAAAGTCTACTCTGAACTGCCTGTCTTTGCATTGAACTCAGGCCTGTACTGTATTTCCGCCATCTGAGCCAGACCTTATAAAGATTTCCTGGAATCCTATTTCAATCAATTGGATAAGACTTTCCCCATCCAATCAGAGTGGCTCTATTCTGACCAGTCAAACAGTGTCTGTTGGAACAAGGAAACTGAAGGATTTGGAACACTTATTTGCATGAGGACAGACCAATCAGGGGCCAGGGGCGGAGCCTTCTGACCATATAAGTAAGCTCCCCTCTGGCTCCAGAAGTGCATTTTCTATTTCCAGTGAAGACTGAAGACTGGGAGTAGATAAAGGCGCTGTTTTGGAGGGGCCGCGGGAGCCGAGGGGTCGCTGCAGGTTCGCTCTCCCGTGCGCTAGGCTTGGTGGGAAGGCCTGTTCTCCAGTCCGCGCTTTTCGTTGTCGCCATGTCCGGAGGTGGTGTGATTCGTGGCCACAACGATTGTCGCATCTACGTGGGTAACTTACCTCCAGACATTCGAACCAAGGACATTGAGGACGTTTTCTACAAATACGGGGCTATCCACGACATCGATCTCAAGAATCACCGCGGGGGACCACCCTTCGCCTTCGTTGAGTTCGAGGACCCGCGAGACGCGGAAGACGCGGTATATGGTCGCGACGGCTATGATTACGATGGATACCGTCTGCGGGTCGAGTTTCCTCGAAGGGGCCGGGGCAGGGGTGGAGGTGGCGGAGCACCCCGAGGCCGCTATGGCCCCCCATTCAGGCGATCTGAGAACAGAGTGGTTGTCTCTGGATTGCCTCCAAGTGGAAGCTGGCAGGATTTGAAGGATCACATGCGTGAAGCAGGTGATATATGTTATGCTGATGTTTACCGAGATGGCACTGGTGTCGTGGAGTTTGTGCGGAAAGAAGATATGACCTATGCGGTTCGAAAACTGGATAACACTAAGTTTAGATCTCATGAGGGAGAAACTGCCTACATCCGGGTTAAAGCTGATGGGCCCAGAAGTCCAGATTATGGAAGATCTCGATCTCGAAGCCATAGTCGTAGCAGAAGCCGTAGCAGAAGCAACAGCAGGAGTTGCAGTTACTCCCCAAGGAGAAGCAGAGGATCACCACGCTATTCTCCCCATCATAGCAGATCTCGCTCTCGTACATAAGATAATTGGTGACACTTTTTGTAGAACCCATGTTGTATACAGTTTTCCTTTACTCAGTACAATCTTTTCATTTTTTTAATTCAAACTGTTTTGTTCAGAATGGGCTAAAGTGTTGCATTCTTGTGCAGGAGGCAGCTGATCGATGTTTTTCTCTCATCGACGTTTCTAACTCTCTATCCCTCTCCCTTCCTCTCTGTAAGAAATCAATAAAATATATTTTTTTAAAAAAGATAATTGGTGACGCTTTTTGTAGAACCCATGTTGTATACAGTGTTCCTTTACTCAGTACAATCTTTTCATTTTTTTAATTCAAACTGTTTTGTTCAGAATGGGCTAAAGTGTTGCATTCTTGTGTAATATCCCCTTGCTCCTAACATCTACATTCCCCTCATGTCTGGTAAATTGTATTTTAAGTGATGTCGTAGACAGGATTGTTTAAATTTAGTTAATTCTCCATTCTCTTCAGACTGTGATATTGTGCAAATGTCTATTCTCTGGTTTGTGTGAACGGGGATGTTGGGGGTGTTTGTGGTTATCTTACCTGGGGAAGTTCTTATGTTTATCTTGCTTTTCATGTGTCTTTCTGTAGACATATCTGAAGAGATGGATTAAGAATGCTTTGGATTAAGGATTGTGGAGCACATTTCAATCATTTTAGGATTGTCAAAAGGAGGATTGAGGAGGATCAGATCAATAATGGAGGCAATGGTATGACTCCAAGTGCTATTGTCACAGATGAAATTGGCAGTATTGACCTTATACTAAAAGGCAAGCGTTAAAAATGATATATATGCATCTACCTTAAAACACTTGCAAACATCTTATGCAGTTATCTTTGCCTACAATTGCTCTGCTCTTTAAACCTTGGCAATTGTGGAAAAATTATATTGCCCATTTGTAACGGTTTATTTTGCTCCCTTCCCCCCTTTTTTGTATTAATAGGGACTAATGTGGGAAGAACTGCTAATTTGTCACAGTGCTTAGTTACAACTGTTAATGTGTGACCTGCTGTTGGTGTACATGTGGGTACAGGGTGTCTTTAATTCCAACCAGATAGAGTATAATATCAATACTGCTAAATCTGCATGTCCTCTGTGTGACTGATATAGCGTTGCTATTTCATTTTTTTAAGACAAAATGAAAGCAAATTATAGAATTCCAACATATTGGTGTAGATAATCTAGTTGGGAATATACTTTTAAGTATCATCTTCCCCTTTAAACTAATATTCATAATTGACTCCTGTTTAAAACACTCTAATTTACAAATTAAATTGCAGATGGGAGCATTAAATTTAGTTTAGACTTAAGTGGGTGACAATACCAGTAAACTTTTCAAATACATAACTTTTTGCAACCACAAAACCTGTAATAATGCTGTACAGTAACAAGTGTTGGCATTATCAGTTGAACTGTAAATATAAAATGCTTCTTCCAATTAGTCTCTATGATGATTAAGTTTCTAAAGTTTATCTGAACACCATTCAGAAACTTGTTTTGGGGAATTTGATAGTTATTGAGGTACATCTGTTAAACTGATGACAGACATAACTCATCATTCCCCAGAAACCTTTTTTGATTACAGTATCTAACATTTTGCCTCCTCTTTTTTGGCTTTGCTGGTTATAAAGGTTTGGATTGGAGAGGGCTCACTGGATCCCAATCCTTGGAGCTGGATCATTGGATTCAAATCATAATGTGGATAGGATAGGGAGGATGAATTACAAGGATTCATGGAGCGGGATCAGATTACCAGGAACATAGGAGTGGATTCCTGCCCCAACCAAACCGCATTCGTGTGGATTTTTTTTTATTCAACTTAATTGGCTATTCCAAAGATTTTTTTTTTTCCTATTTTTGACGATTGGAGCCCTTAAGATGCACGATGGAATTGTGTTTTGCATTTTTTGGTAAAAGGAGCAGAGCGAGGACCTGGAGATATACGCTGGAGCAATCTCCTTGGAAGGATTCAGCACGAGTAGATGGTAAACACTTAAAGGGGAAAAGGGGGGGGGGGTTGTTTAAAATAGTAAATCAGTAAGTCATTTCTAAATTTAAAGAAAACGAAATTGGAGTTGAAGAATAAGTAGGTTTCCAATTGGCTGTTGCCGTTTTTCTTTTGAAAAATAAACGTTTTTTAAAAAACTATGCATGGTTGTCCTTTTTCCTCTTCTAAGATTTTAACTGGGAGACTATCAGTTAATACTTTAAATGATAAGATTCTGACTTGCATTTATGTGTTAGTAAATTAAAGGTTCTTGAAAGGTAATTTATTGGTATCAAGCAATTCTGATGCTTTGATAATAAAAAAGTTATTAAAATGTAAAAAAAAAAAGACTGAAGACTGCTTCTCCCTAGCGGAGCTGAAACACCTAAACCGTCCCTCCAGAGCAGAGTGGAGCTAAGATGTCTCACTAGAGCAGAGTGGAGCACGTGCTTGAGCAGAGAGGCAGACCATCTGGAGTGGAGCCATGGAGAGCTCCCTAGTTGAAGAGGGACCTGCCCCCAGGGCAGCCTCAGAGCCTTGCTGTTTACACAGCCACTCTGTAGCACTGTTGAGCAGTTTGCACTGAATAAAGTTTTCTTCTTCACAACACCCCAAATTGGGAATTCCTGTTGAACTTGAATTAGTGCCAATGACCATCAACCATCAGTTGACAATATTCAGTCATCGTTGGTAGAAATATAAACTGAAACAACTTCTTTTCAGTCAAAATTGGAAATATTTCAAATTAAATATTTTATAACAATACAACAAAACTTTTAACTTTGTAAAGAGCATCCACAGTAAACCTACAGCTAATATCATACTTAATGTTGAAGTACTAAATTCTTTTGCTCTAAGAACAAAACAAGGCAAAATACAACAGTTTATTCGCGTTATTATTTATTAATTATCGTATTATTTTCCATATAAACAAATGTATACCTACCTTTGCCCTACCCTGTATAAAAAATGGAATATTATTCAGCCATGAGGAAGTAGGAAATCCTGCTGTCTCTAACAACTTGGATGGCTCTTGAAGGCATTATGATAAGTGAAATAAACCAGACAGAAAAATACAACTCCTGTATAGTATCATATATATATGGAATCTTGGAGAAAAAAGTCAAACTCATAGAAACAGAGAGTAGGAAAGTGGTAGCCAGGGGATGGGAGTGGGAGAAATAGGGAGAAGCTGGCAAAAGTGCACAAACTTTCAGCTGTAAGATGAATAAGGTCTTAGGATCTAATGTATAAAATTGTGACTATAGTTCAGTGATGGCGAACCTTTTGAGCTTGGCGTGTCAGCATTTTGAAAAACCCTAACTTAACTCTGGTGCCGTGTCACATAGAAATTTTTTGATATTTTCAAACATAGTAAAACAAAGACTTATATTTTTGATATTTATTTTATATATTTAAATGCCATTTAACAAAGAAAAATCAAAAAAATGAATTCACGTGTCACCTCTGACACGCGTGTCATAGTGTTGGGGGCCAGATGTAAGCTGGCAAGGTCCTTGCACCTGAAGGGGCTAATAAGGCTGGGACCCTTACCCACACAGTTTTCCCAGACTTGTTTGGATGGCGATTATCAGTAGAATGAGAACAGCCTTTCATAGCTTACCAAGAAGTCTGTAACTATTTACTGAGATATGCTGTACTGAGAACTTGTCCTTCTGCTGTGTCCCTCCCTTAGAGATTAAGAGGAACAAAGAATACATTCCTCTTGACAGACCTCCTATTCAGTGTGTTGTGTATAAATAGGATTGGTTGGCTAATAAACTTCGCTTCAGTTCCTCGAGAACTGGAGTCCTCCCGATCCCGCTTTCCTGTCTTTCTTTCTTTTCTCAATTCCCTCCTCCCTACCTCAGCCCGGCTCAACCTGTCAGGCTGGCCCTGACATCATAGGTTCACCATCACTGCTATAGTTGATAACATTGTGTTATATAATTGCAATTTGCGAAGAGAATTTAAATGTCCTCACTAAAAATATATATATGTGTGTGTGTATGTATGTATACAAAAGGCCCAGTGCACGAAATTCATGCACAGGTAGAGTCCTTAGCCTGGTTGGTGATCAGGGCCAATCGGGGCCTTCCAGCTGCCGGCCGGGGCCTCCCTTCTCCGGCTGCCAGCTGCCAGCCAGGGCCTTCCTTCATTCCGCACCACCCCTTCGTGGTCAGCGCACGTCATAGCAAGCGATCGAACTCTCGGTCGAACTCTAAGGGGACATTTTGCATATTAGGCTTTTATATATATAGATGTGTGTGGGTGGTGATGAATGTGTCAACTAGATGAAAGGATCCTTTCACAATGTATACATATATCAAATCATCACAATGTATACTTTATTTTTTTAATATGTTTTTATTGATTTCAGAAAGAAAAGGAGAGATAGAAATATCAATGATGAGAGAGAATCATTGATTGGCTGCCTTCTGCATGCCTCCTACTGGGGATCGAGCCTGAAACCCTGGCATGTGCCCTTGACTGGAATCAAACCTGGGACCCTTCAGTCTGCAGGCTGACACTCTATCCACTGAGCCAAACCAGCCAGGGCCACAATGTGTACTTTAAATGTCTTATAATTGTGTGAATTATACCTCAACTAGCGGCCCGGTGCATAAAATTCATGCACTGGGAAGGGTGTCCCTAGGCCCAGCCTGCACCTCTTCAATCTGGGACCCCTCAGGGGATGTCTGATTGCCAGTTTAGGCACAATCCCTGTGGTATCAGGCCTAAATGGGCAGTCAGACTTCCCTCTCACAATCCGGGACTGCTGGCTCCCAACTGCTTGCCTGCCTGCCTGCCTGATTGCCCCTAACCACTTCTGCCTGCCAGCCTGATCACCCCCTAACCACTCCCCTGCCAACCTGATTGCTCCTAACTGCCCTCCCCTGCAGGCCCGGTCGCCCCCAACTGCCCTCCCCTACCGGCCTGGTTGCCCCCAACTGTCCTCCCCTGCAGGCCTTGTCCCCCCCAACTTCCCTCCCATGCCAGCCTGGTCACCCCTAACTGTCCTCCCCTGCCATCCTGGTCACCCCTAACTGCCATCCCCTGCAGGCCTGGTACCCCTCAACTGTTCTCCCTCCCCTGCAGGCCTGGTTGCCCCTAACTGCCCTCCCCTGCAGGC